ACATGGGTAGTAAGATTATACATTTTAAGTATTTTGAACCTTGGAAAGTTTATTGGAGTTGGTGAGGAAACAAATGATTGTAAAAAATAATGACACATGTGTAAGAAAATGTCAATGTGAAACGCATTGCTCTCTGTGATAACCTAAAAATTTAATTAAAATGAATAAAATATATTCAGAAAGTTCATGGATTACAGATACGAAAACAGCATAGTATAGTCTCATCTCAGTATGAATTTCAAGTGATAAAAATGACATTCAGAGTTGTTTAATTTTTAGTTCTTAAAGATAATAATCACATACTTCAATAATTGTGATGCTCCTAGGAACTTTATATACAGCTTACAATTATATTACTAAATAGGCATATAGAGTTCCTTATAATAATGTCTTTCATACCTGATTTAAAGTACATTTAGTCCAGGTGTATGCAAACTGACTACATGTTCATTTCAAAGACAAAGGGAATGAATTAAACCATCCATGGTCTTAGAAATTAGAAATAACAAGGGGTAATATACGATTTTTTAGATTTTTATTCAGTCTTACTTATTTACATGTGTGTACATATTCACATTTTGTGGCAGGTACTGGTGACTGAATCCAGGGCACTGCGTGTTAGGCAAGTACACCTCTATCACTGAGGTCCTCGCCCCGTGGTTTCTGTACAAACTATTATTTCATCCTGAAACATTTTAAATTCTGCTCTTCACATCTCACAAAATTTTCTTATGCCTCTACTTAGGAAAAATAATTCTATTTTTATTTTATGTGTATGGATGTTTTGCCTGGATGTACATCTGTGCACCACGTGTGTTCCTGGTGCCTGTGGAGGTCAGAAGAGGATGCCGGATCTCTTGGAACTGGAGTTACGGATGCTTGTGAGCCACCTTGTTGGTGCTGAGAACTGAACCCGGATCCTCTGCAAGAGCAGCCAATGTTCTTAACTGCTGAGCCATCTCTCCAGCCTCTAGAAAAATAATTTTAATGGAAATCATCTATGTTAAATACAGTTCTGTCATGATGCCTTTAATTAGTTTATATGCACTCATTAAGTCTTTTCTTCTATACCTAAAAGCTGTTGTTAACATTATTTAAAGCTTTTAAGCAGGTACATACAGAGTCACATATCTAAATACATTAGTGTTGCTCATGACTTTTTTTTTTTTTTTTTTTTTTTTTTTTTTTTTTTTTTTTTTTTTTTTTTTTTTTTTTTTTTTTTTTTTTTTTTTTTTTTTTTTTNTTTTTTTTTTTTTTTTTTTTTTTTTTTTTTTTTTTTTTTTTTTTTTTTTTTTTTTTTGCTTTTTCGAGACAAGGTTCCTCTGTGGTTTTGGAGCCTGTCCTGGAACTAGCTCTTGTAGACCAGGCTGGTCTCGAAATCACAGAGATACACCTGCCTCTGCCTCCCAAGCCACCACTGCCCAGCTCATGACGTTTTTATATCTGGAAGTGTGTGCCTACCTTTAAAACCCTTCACTTGTCTTGTCACAGAGAACCTCAAATGCTGGCTTCACATAACCCTCAGTAATGCTGCTTTAATGATAGTTTAGCATTCCTGGGAGCAGAGTCAGGTTGTCAAATGTGTATTGCTGTGAAATCTGTAAACTGTGTGTTGCTTCCGGGTGCTGGGAAGTGGGCTATGATGCCATGCTTATCTGGGGGCCCCAGACTGAAATGATGATAGCTGTGAGGGCTGTCTTATTGTTTTATCTTTCCCCTTCCCTTCCAGAAAGGACCTCTTCTTTCAACTACTATATTCAGATACTTCCTCTTTGTTTTGCTTTTGGGATGGCATCTTTAAGTAGCTAAGGCAAGTGGTGATCCTCCTGCCTCAGCACGAAAGCCAGTTCAAATTACTTTCAAACTATCAACTGCACTATTCTATGGTGTTATTTTGTGTAAAACGAAACAAACAAAAAAATCAATCTGCCCTCCCATTTTAGTGTGGTTGATACCTATTAATTATGGTTTTCATCTGTTTTGAGCTTCCAGGCATGAAGTATGTGAAGTTGTTTGCCGGGCTTTCCTTGTGATGCTCTCTGAGTTGGGGGACTTTTATTGTGCTGTATTGCAAAGTGTGGCAATTCTTCTTTTATTTAAATACACTTGCTTCTTGATCACAAGAAGTCTATTTTCCCATAAGCATTCCTAATTGGATTTGTTTTCTGATTGATGCAATCCCAAGGTTAACTTTGAAAACAGGCAATGCACTTTGTCTCCAAACAGATTGTCTAGTTTCCAGCCTTTCAGATCCAAGAGAAACATTCCCTGGACATCTAGACATTGTTGCTGCTGAAGACAAACTACCCTCTTCCTTATTCCTGTCCCTATCATTCCAATTCCTATGATGCTTTATTTTTACACCTCAGTGTCTTGAAACTATCGTTTATGTAAAATAGCAGCCTATGTTATAGTGAATTATTCAGTTCTTTAGTATCCCATTAGCATGCATATTTTATGAAGGCAGTTATAAAATATCTGCCTTATTGGCAGTTGTGTTTCATTGCCTATAACTATGTTTTCACATACAGATCAATTCATATATATTGAATTTATATATATATATATATATATATATACGTATATATATATATATACACCATAGATTCCTCTCCGTGTATGTCACATTTATAATAGCCATTTTCCTGCAATCCTTTTACCTGGAATCATTTTTTGATTCTTTTATTATGAAAGCAACATCCAAATATGCATTTTTTCTTTAAATATTCATTTTTCTTTCTTAATCAGTTAATTGTGTATGTGTGTATGTGTGTGCAAGTGCATGCACACCAGGATGAACATATAGAGGTAAGAGGACCACTCTTGGGAGTCAGTTCACTTCTGCCACCTTGTGGGATCTGGATTGAGTAGTTCAGGTCATTTTTAGACTATGCACAAACATCTCTACCCTCTAAATTTACCTTGCCTGTCCCAAACATGATTTTTTTTCAAACACCATTTCTATTATTTCCATAGAAAAGAAGCAGAGAAATTATTGATGATTCAGAAACCAAAATTAGGACTTTGATTTTTATCCTACTTTCCAGCTAGTATTTTTCCTTCCTTTTTTTTTTCTAAACAGCAATTATTTTCCTTAAATTAATGTCTAAGAATAGCTCTTTGAACACAGCAGTTTGAGCACTAGCAGGGAGGAAGGGCAGGGAGGTGTTGGTTCTTGACAAATAGCAATTGGACATGTAATTAGAGGTGCTGGCCGTGTTAGGTTTGCCCAGTGAAGCCACCTCAGAGATCAGTGCTGAATAAAATGGACTTACTGACAATGCTAAGCTAAAAGTCGGGGTTTGAGTTTCATCAAACATCTATCTAGTGCCCCCTAATGGCAATGTCCAGTGGTCGATGATGAAGGAATGTAAAGAATAAGCTAAAATATAGATCCTTGCCTAAATGAGCATAGGATTTGGGAAGAAAAGTATAACAGGACACATTCACTTAGACACTACATCAACCATCTAAACATGTACACGTGACAAACAAGTCAGAGAAGGGCATATCCGATTAACCTGTGTGTGGGACAGGAGAGCTCTCTCCATTTGATCTTGGTTGTTCCCCTTACTAGTCTGTTCTTTCAAACTCATTCTCTACACTTCCTTTTCTACTCTCTGTCTCATTAATTGGCATCTCATAGACTCTGGTGCCCACAACGGCAGCATCACTGGCCTGGGTTGTGCCTTCTCCATGGATTGAGTTCTGGCCAGATGTAGATGCTGTGTCCTCAGCTTCAGTAAGTTGTCCCAGCCCAAGAACTCTGGAAATACCTTTTTCCCTCCAGCTTTACAAAATTCCAGGCTTCCTCTTGAGGCTTATGTGCTCTTTGTTGGCAAATTGGCTCTTTTGTTATCTAAGCAACAAATCTCATGTTTAATCACTTCTGTATGAATTACCTAGGGACATTGTTTTTTGACCCCACCTGACTGACATAAAAGATAGCCTGCTCTGTTAAGACAGAACAGCATACTTTCTGGCCTGGAAAAGATCGAATGATCAGAGTACTTAATTTGTGAAGTTAAAGGCAGGCTAAAAAACAGTCAGGATTCTCATTCTGAAACTGGGTTAATTAGCAGTGACATTCTAACCCCAATAGACCTTTGGGAAGGCAAAGGGTGGTTTAGTGTTTGTAGACCCAATATGAGGAACAACATATGTCCAATGAAATTTCAATTATGTGGGCAAGCCACATGAATGAAAATATTTGTATCTATTCCACATTTTTATTTCCACTAATTTCAAACCACCTAAAGCCCTCTTTTGGAAATGACTCCCCCACAAAGAATGACAAAACTAGAAGGGGTCATCCTTCTCCTCCTATATGCAGGAAGACACTGCAGTTTGTGTTTGTGGGAGCAAATTTGCTCAAGGTCGCACAGCTGCACAGCCAGATGCAGAAGCTCCTTCTCCAGTTCGCAGTGCGAAGTTCTTTCTGTCTACCGACGGACCCCTGAACATGACCCAAGTTCCATTTCATTGCATTCATGTTTTGTCCTTCTGTAACCATAAGGTTTTTCTTAAAAAATAGTTTTGCTGCCGAGCAGTGGTGGCGCACGCCTTTAATCCCAGCACTCGGGAGGCAGAGGCAGGCAGATCTCTGGGAGATCAAGGCCAGCCTGGTCTAGAAGAGCTAGTTCCAGGACAGGAACCAAAAAAAGTTACGGAGAAACCCGGTCTCGAAAAAAAAAAATAGTTTTGCTCCTTATTAATAGCATGCACATTTGAACTAATAGCCATAGACATATTGCTCATTCCAAAGTAACCACTTTGGGGTGATCTTTAAATGCAACATTGTACTTGAATAAAGTAACAGACATTGTACAGTCAACTGGGATGGAAAATAGAGTTCAGGGAACAGAGCACATTGTGAGTAAAAAACTCAAGGGTACACAGTTAATGATGTACTCAGACAATTAGCATTTATGAAGTCTTATAACTACATCATTTTTATATTAAAATATCTAGACCATGTTTTGACAGTAAATAAACACATTGAGGTCAAGACTTTAGAGACATTATCTGTTTAATAAATATGATTGTAAAAGCAATAAACAAGAGCAATTATACATTACACTACATAGTATTTAACAAAAAAATACATCAAAAAGTCATTTAAAATTAGAAGTAGTTCCAATACTATAAGAAAACTTTCATTTTATTTTTAAATTGGCTTCCTATAAAAATAAGTTGGCAAATGAGGGGTTTCAGTGCTTAGTTGGAATCCTGGGCAACACAGAACAGCTGCCAAGCACCCCATTGCTTTCAATGTTGCTGTTTGGAACTTCTGGAAAAGAAAATCAAAGCAAACCTCTGCAATTTGGACAGTGAATCCAATCAGGAATAAGGCAAAGGGGAAATGTTGGTGGGTAGTTCAGGGTACATCGTGCACAGTTTGCCCTCTGGGCTTTTAAGCAATGTTGCAGTATCCTTTTTTTTTTTTTTTTTTTTTTTTTTTAGCTTGCCTGGAATCTTACTTCCTACGCATTCCTTCCACACTCCTTTGGCCTTGAGTTCACCAGACTCCTCAGTGTACTTGCAGCTGCTATTAGTGAGAGATAGGCACTTGGGCCCCTCCCACTTGTAGGTTCTCAATGTTACTTTCTCCTTGGGATTTTACAGCAAGACCTGGTATGGGAGTTCTCAAACTTGAGTGTGTATCATAATCACCTGAATGGCTTGTGGAAACAGATTGTTGGGGCACCTGACCCATAAGCAGAAACCGATACTATCGATCCGTTCAAATTTCCAACATAGCAGAGTGTGTTTTAGCCTGGTTTGAGTCCACATTTCAAACAAGTATTGGTGACAGTGATACTGTCATCCTAAGCCTTACACTTTGAGAACCACGAGGCCAGGTTACAGGAACTATGAGGTCTCCTTGCCTCACCAGTTACCTACAGGAGGGAGGGGACTTTGAGGAGAGGCACACAAGGAGAGGCTGAATCTATCACTGGCCGCTTCAGTCACTTTACAGGATGCCAGGTATCTCGTGCCCGTCTCTATTTTAGATGAAAATTGACAGCCCCTTCTTCCTTGTGCCTCTTCATTCACTCACCTTCATTTCACCAGGAAATATGTTTCACAATACTATTCTAGGCAAGGCACTTTACTAAATCAAGAGTGGTCTCCATTTTTCAATAATAAATTTCTAGTTAGAATAATTTGAACTGCAACTCCGAGGATTCCCTGTGCTGGTTTGAATGAATGTGATTTGGTTTTCAAATACTTTGTCTTCCAGACTAAATATGGAAGACTCCAATTGAAGAGAATCAATGAAGACTTTTCCTATGAGATAGGAAACCTGGCAGGTTGAGGGCTGATTTGTCCCCAGGCGTAATTTACTGCCCCAATCACACGGACATCTTCTACCATAAAGCTTTCTGCTTGAATCACCTCTGACAACAGTTTTTCTACTCTCCCCTTTCCTCGGCCATACATGTGCAGGGGTCATGTGATCACTGAACCGGTCACACAAGGGTAGAAATCATACTGATCACTGGGATACACCAGGGTCCTTGCCAATCCTCTGTTGTTGGCTTTGGGACACAGCCAAGAAAGAGGCTGGGTTCTAAAAGTGGTTTACTACAATGTCTTTCATCCTTACTTAAGAGCAGTCTCTGTCTAATGCAGAGAAATAAGGAGGCTTCAGTCATATGAAAAGACCTCCTTGGGGCATACGCTCTACTCCTTTCTGGGAGTCTTCTTTCGTGATTTCTCTTAGGAAACTGATTTTTTTTCTTTTTTTTTAAGGCCCTGAGGTTTGTGAACCTTACTTTTCTGTCAGCAGATATTCCTCTTTTATATTGACTTATTTTTTTCTTTATAAATACCATGGCAGTTGAAGATCAAAATTGCACACATGAAATCAGTGAGATCATCTTAAACTGCCAAAGCCTCATCCAGACAAAAGAGAAGACTGGTTGATTTTTTTTTATCTTTTTTTTTCAATATTTTTATGTAGTAAGTCCATTAACCTACTTCTCCTTCTGGTTAAAAAAATCAGCTTTATTTTATAAACATGGTTATTCTAGAGAGGAAATATCAGATAACAGCAACTATCATAGAACATAGTACCCTGCAATATAGTCACACATTCAAAAACATTTCCCATGAGAATCTTCTAGATTCAGACCACATAAGATTTTTGTTAATGCACAGAAAACCATCACTGTTCATATGTTTTACTTTCCAAAGTATATGGGCAGATTTGGGTTGCTTTGCGTGTATCAACTCTTTCACACACAAGTATATGTTTCCAGGTGGGAAAGACAGAGGTATTTGGCAAAAGAAGATTCTAGAGGAAGAGAAAAAGGGGAAATGTAACTGAAGCCAGCTGGGCAGGTTGCAGCAGCCTGGCCAGAGTGAGGGAAGCTGGCATGCGTGGGAGTGTAGAAGATTGATAGGATGAAGACCTGTGAGAGAAGGCGCCAGGGTTGGCATCGGCTAGGCCAGTGTTTGGAATTAACAGGTTTAATGTCCAAAATCTAGCAACACATTTGAAGAGAAAACATGAGAGCTGTTGAAAGATAATGGGGGATAAAAAGAAAAAAATTGAGAGTCATCAAGAGAAACATGTCCACACACAGCAAACAAACAGAATAACAAGTATGTACTGGAAAAAATTTCCCACTTTTTTTTTTTTTACATTACTTGGGGCAAGGAGAAAAGCTGAGCAGGAAACAGAGGTCCATTTCTGATATGCTCTGCTTCCCAGCCTCCCTTCTACTGAACCTGCCTATATGGATATGGATCTTTATGAAGGATCTTTGTTCCTGCGGCCACAGAGAATGAAAAGAAATCAGCCTGAGGTCACCGTTGACCAACAGAGCCTCTAACACTAACTTAGAGAGGAAAAATACCAACAAGTAAAACAGAGGAGCAGCTCAGGGTTTCAAACTCCTGTGCGCGTCTTTGTGTCTTGTGAAAAGGCTGGAGATGGCTAATCCACCATCAGCCTGTAGGGCTAAAATAGCTGTGAAATCTAGAGCCAAGAATATTTCCAAAAATACATGCAGATTTCCTTGGCCTATATATGTTATGAATTTTCTACAAACACGACCGATCAGAAAAGAGAAAGAAGGGGAGGGGAGTGTTTTCCATTAAAATAGAGCACCTGTAGACCACCCCTCCGAACGTGTTCTCAAGGTATTGTCCACATGCACAAGCTTAAAGCTAAAAACCCTTGTTGTCTGTGTCTGAAGGATTTAAAATTTCCGATGCAGTGAGTGTTTATTTGTTAGTTTAGATTTTGATTGTTTTTATTTTATTTTTGTTTGTTTTACTGGCGTCTTCCACTCAAACATTTACATAGGTAGGGATTTCTTTTGTGCTTTGATTCTCAGCAACTATGGAAATACTTCCTGGCAAAATAGGAAACAACAACAGAAGAAAAAAAGAAACATAAAGTTAGTGGTCAGGAAGGGTGATGTACTTGACAAGAGCGCAATTCTTTCTGATCAGCAGGTCTCCTGTAGTCTTTGGGGGTTTTCCTTAGATTGCAAATTGTGCCCCAGCAGATCCCCGCTTTGGCGATGAAGGTGGAGTGGCTTGTCTTGATCTTTGCAATCGGAGAGATGAGTCACCAGGTTGAGAAGAAGGGGAGGGAGGGGAGGGTAAAGCTACTCTCCTAAGAGAAAACGTGTAACACTTAACTCATTTAATGACACTGGAAATAGAAAGGAATCAGAGACTGCAATGTGTGCGAGATGTGGCTAGCAAAGGAGGAACTGTCACTTTAATAAGCAGCTACTGTGATTCACACCACAGAAATGGAGACAGAGGACCAAACGACCCCCTAGATCATGCAGCATTTGGGATGCTTTGGAAGAGGATAGGCAGAGTAGGTGATGTTACACTGGACAGTCAGACAGAAAAGCTTTTGTACTTCTTAACCCAATGCTATTGTGTCTTTTTATTACCCTGTCTCCACCAAATGAAAGAAAATGAACTGTGAAAATTGGACAGCAGATGTGGCTGCCATTGTTATTATTATCTCTGGCTGGTGCTATTCATTGCATTGAAACTTCCCCATTACAGCCACAGCCTTTCTCATATCCATTTAAACTCATTTGTTCCCAAGTAGCAGATTAAAAATTTTGTCTCTGAAGGCATGCTAGGTGATCTGGCCTCATGACTTTAGCCTGAAGAACTATGCTGGAATTTCCCCATCTTAGTCAGCCATAGACAGTGGGACCCAAGGAAGAAGAGGGATCGGCCATGACGGTCCCATGAATTTGTCTTAGTTCCTCAAGAACATCTTCTGTAATACACAGTAAGATTTACCAGCTGAGCTGTAGGCTTTCCTCCAGCTAGGTGTCAGACTCCCATGCTTTGGCCCCAGGGAGACAGAGCAGCATTGCCATCCAATGCCAAAGCTTGTAGTTATCACAGAGAAAGGCACCTCTCTAGCCTAATTCTCCAACTGGTCTCTTAACATCCCCAAATTCTAAGTATTCTACAAACTGCTCTCCCCTCCTTGTTCTTGGTTTTCATATGGGTAATAGTTTCAAGATAGCCACTGGACCAAAAACAGAACAAAATACCAAAATCCCTTCCTAACTGTCAGGTTAACCAATATTCTTTTGTTGGGCTCTTCTGCTATTTTTAAAACAGTCTGGTCTTAGAGCTATCCATAGAAGAGACTGCGGGTTTGTGCACAACTTGCTTCCTGCTTGCCTTTCTCCCCACCTCCCCCAGCCACTGCAGCTTTTCCTCCTTCAATAGCAGTAGTGAAAGACTAGATGCTCATTGCTAATATACTTTGAAGCTTAGAGTTTTAGAAACTGATTTTCTTTTTTCTGTTTTTTTTTTAAGGAGGGAAATTTAAAGGAGAGTAAAAAAGCTTCAAAAGAGCAAGAAAGGGGTGTTTTAGCTGTTTCTCTCACAAGTGTTAGAACAGAAAAAAAGTGGTTATGTGAAGCCAAAAAGAGGTTAGAAGGTGGGTTAGTGTGGACTACTCAGCCTGCGAAGCTGATAACCACTGGGCATCATTTACCTAGGTGCTGTGATTCCACCTTCTCATCTACAAGCTGGCCAGGCCACCTGAGGTCAGGGTGAGGGACACTGGGCCTGCTTTCAGTGTGACTGACTGGACTGATCAGCTCCTGTTCTTTCTCATTTTGCATCTGGGCATAAACATTAATCCCCGGAATCTTCCTAAAACATTAATAGAAAGTATCACCGCTCTGTTCCAGAGGTGATGTATTGCTTCTGAACCTGTCAGAGAGAGGGGAGAGGTTGGGGGCAGGGGATGGACAGGGGAGCACACACCTTTTAAACTTGTAGATGACGAATACAGCCAGACCCACAAACACGACCGAGAGCAACATCAGCATGGCAGATCCGCTGTGGGTTGGAGTGAGGTCCACCAGGGGGGCTGGGGGAACATACAAAGTACAAACATGAGCAGAGTCTTGAGAAGGTCCATATGGCTCACACACAATATTGGTAGGTCCTGGAAAACCACTGGGATATACAGGTCACTGGACCACAGCTATGCATGCATCTGAGTGTGCCCCCCCATCCTGAAAATGTTCCAACCTGTCTGTCTAAGCCCTACAGTGGATCAAGGGAAAACAGAAGAGGTCCTAGCTCTGTTCAACCAAACATCTACTCTCTAGACTTGGACAGTTTGCTTCATCTTAATTTGTCTAATGTAGCTAAAGAATAATAGCACATAGCCGACTGGATGTCTTTGAGGACTGAGTTGTTATATCTACCAATCAATCTCTTTATAAGCATTTCCTGTCATTCTAGCACTGCTGCTGTCATTATAATTAATTAACGAACACGTGTTACTGATGAGTTTACATCCTGATAAAAAGCCACGGTAAGAACAAACTATCAAGCACGGAACCTACTCCATATAGCTCAGTGAAGCCCACTTTTGTTGTGCTCAGAGCCCCTACCTGAGCAAACACTTGGTTGGGTAAAATCATCTTAAAAAAAAAAAAAAACCTTAGTCTGTAATAAAACATTCAATGTTTTATGTAATTTACTGAGTAGTATATTAAAAGGAGAAGCAGAAGGGTTCTATGGGTACATTTCCATGTTATTATAAGTTAGAAACATGGGAAGCTATTTTAAGTCAGAAATAGTCTGCATTTCTACTTTTAATATTATTCTTTTGTATGGTTTATATGTATTATATGCAAATTTTACCAACTAAGGACAGTCAAAGGACAGTCAAACCATAAATAGGAGGGAGGTGTGTGTGTGTGTGTGTGTGTGTGAGAGAGAGAGAGAGAGAGAGAGAGAGAGAGAGAGAGAGAGAGAGAGAGAGAGAAATATGACTTAGTCATATCTCTACCTTGGCAGAAGCAAGACAAAGAACTGGAAAGCTATGAAGCATGCTAACGTTTTATTTTGCACCCAGGAAACTCAGTGAATGCTTAAGAAGGTCAACACCCTGATTCCGGAGGAAAGGAATGTCATGTGATGGGCCCAATAATGTCTAAAATTTGTGGCAACCTACCCCAAAAACTCCAGCACTTCATATATGAACTTCCTCACAGACAAAGCTGAAATATCTGCACACTTGAGGTTCTGTCTCTGAGTTTTCTTTCTAAGGCACTTCTGTGAAACATCACTCCCCAACTCCAACGCTCATCCTCAAGGTCAAGCTTCTTGCACTTGTAAAGACTGTTTTCAATTAACGTTTACCATGTCAAGAACTGACAATTGGCAAATGTGGTACACCTCAAACCTGAAAACAATCCACCCGAAACTTGCAGAAGCATGGACCGTGACCTTTACCTTCCATCCATTTAAGCAAAGCCCAATGCCCAGAAATGCAGGTGACCTTTAAGCGCCCTTTCTATGACTTTTCTCTGTTGAGAGCCAAGAGGGTGATGCTCTGGTCATCCAAACAGAAAAGTTCAGAAGCAAATGACTACAATATTAATGGTCTCAGGCAATAGCCATGATTGCATCAGCTCTGTCTGGTTTTTGCAAGATTATATTTCAGCTACTATTAGAAAGCATATTTCATACGAGAATAAAGTTAGTACAAAGTAAAAATCTAAGCTTTCTTCTCAGGAAAATGACTTAATTTATGCAGGAGGATCAGCTCTTAGCAGGCACTGAGTATAAGGAACCCGTTTGTTCTGTCTCTGCTGTAAGTCTAGCAACTTTATGCAATGAATGTCCTTGTGTGTGAGCTGATTAGGCAACCTCAGTGCAGTGGAACACCGGATCCAAGGTGCTTCATATTTAAACTAAGAAAATGAAGCTCTTGGTGCCATTAACAAAGCCCAGAAACAGATCTGCGTGCATGCTGCTATCAGTAGAATATCACAGGAGCAAAGAACACATTCCATTGTTACAAATATTATCTTGACTATTTTTCACAGATGGAAGGCAAGGGCTATCGACCGCATGAAACAAACAAAAGCAGTTAGGTGTTCAGTGCTAAATGCCATACAGGACTTCAACTAGTTAGCAGAAGAAAGAAGACTTCAGTCTGAGCCATTCAAACACACACAAATACAATTCTATATACCCCACCTGATGTAAAGGACCAGAAACTAGAAAGTACATTTTTTTCAGGAAGGAGGTTAAGCCAAAGGTAACAGATAGCATATAAAAAATTTCAAAAAGTGACATGAGTTAATATATTATGCTTTAAAAGGAGTCCTTAGGTTCCTAGATTCCTAGATCATACACTTTTTTATATTTGTTTTTCAAGTCTGGGTTTCTCTGTGTAGCTTTGGAGTCTATCTTGTAACTTCCTCTCTGGACCAGACTGGATCATCGACTTTTAAACTTTGGTGACACATACTTGTGTATGCAAAGGGATGGGTCATGGATAGACAGATAGATCATGTTTAGAACAACTGTCCTCTCCAAACCAATCTTGTTATCTTTGTATTTACACACAATTCCCTCAAGCTCAACCACTGCATTGTTTTGAAATAACTCTGCTTCCCCTTCCCCGTCATTATTAGTTACACAGTATTGTTATCATACGAAAGGAATGAGGGTATAATGTAAAAGGTCTCTGATGTAAACCATTAATTTTCAGTGAACAAATGAAGTCCAGAGGAACCACAGACGATGAGGACAGTCACAGGCATTACTGAAGTTAAAATACTAATACTAATACCAATCAGAAGGCCCCTGTAGCACAAGCAGAATGGAAGTGAGGAACAGTTAAGAAAACCACAAAGATTACTTGAAGGGATAACATTTTAAGTTTGTTGTTGCTATTTTTTCTCTTGAAACAGGGTCTCTATAAAGCCTTGGCTATCCTAAAATTTACTATGCAGACCAGGCTAGTCCTTAACTCAAAGAGCTCTGCCTGCCTCTGTCTACTCTCTGAGTCCAGGGATTAAGGGTGCACACCACTATGCCTGGCACAAACTTTGAAATGCATGGAAAATAATTAAGAGGAAATTACCTTAACTGTGTTCCTACACATATGAAGGGGAACACACATGCACATGTGTGTGCACACACAGACACAATTGAACTTATCTTTGCTTCCATCTCTGATCTACTGCTTTCCTCTTTTCTGGGTTGAATTTTCCAACCTGACATCATTCACACTCAGATGATCATTCTTAATGAAGCAGCATTAATACTTTTGGGAAATCATCACATTCTTTGGAGAGCATTAGTTTCTGCATTTTGGGATCTACAATGTACGATCCATTAGACATTCCAGGTCTGCATCTCTTAGCCATTTCTCAGAGACAGGAGATCAGCACAGCCAACAGCAGTGGGGAGAGTGAGTGGCGCTGTCCTCAGTGTTCCGTGGCTGGCTTATGCTTGCTGATCTCTGCCTGCATATAAAGGGGGTCTATTACTGCTCCATACAGCAGCAGCGGCCACCTATCTTAATTTCCCCCACGTTTAGGTGTGTTTGTATGCATTGCTAAGGAATGGAAACTGCTGATAAATGGATTTCAGCTTGTTGTGTGGAATTAGCATAAATTAATCCCTCTTCCGTTGCAGCTTCAGCAAGGTAGCTGTGAGGAAGAAAGGCGCCTAGAAGGCTTTTGCCATTACAAATGCACAGTGTACAACATGGATACAGGCATTGCTCCAGGTAATTGGACACCCCACACCTCTGCTCATACACCATTTCTAAAACCCTGTGAGGAAGTAGGCTATGCTTTGAATTACTGTATTCTATTCACATGGGTCTGAGCTGATTATAGTAATAGAAATATTACCACTTCCATAAAAGGGTGAAAGACATATAGGAAATGCTAAATAAACAGTCCCAGCTATGTATGTGCAAGTCAAATCAGAACTCCAGAGTTGGGTTCAGTATTTTTTTTTAATATCCTCAATAAAATCTTTATTAACAAAAGATAATACACAAAATAGACACCAGCGACCGACTTTATGTTAACCTATGTTGAGGTAGGGACAGAACAATTTTGCATTACAGTTTTGTGTGCTTGTGTGGGTACATGGGCATGGCATGTGTGTAAAGATCAAAGAGCCAGTTCCTCGGGTTCTGCTCACTGGCCTGGTACTTGCAAGGTTTGTCTGGGCTCACTGGCCATCTGTCTGTCTTCCTCTCCAAGGCTGAAATTACAAGTACCACCCCTGTATCTGGCCAGCCTGCTTTCTTTCTCTCTTAGATGTGGGCCCTGGAGTTGGAACTCACATCCTCATGCTTGCAAGGCAAGTCCTTCTCTGACCGAGTGAATTCCCCGAGCCTGCACCACACTGTTAGTCTCAGTCTGAATATGGACATCATGTGCAGCCAGGTACCTGATAATTGATTCAGTTACTTTTCCTCTGCCATGTCTGAGATGCTGACTTGACACAGTATCTTAGAAGTCAGTTTGGAACACATTTGTTGAGTCAGTGTATCCAGGTCACATTTTCACAATCGTACTGTGGCATTGTCTCTGCCATGGTTCTAGGCAAGAAAGGCTGGGGATCACACCAGTATCAGTATGAATATGCCATGAGGCTAACCTTAAAGATGTCTTTGAGAAATTTCAGCTTCAAGTTTTTCTGTTCTTCAAATTACATCGTGATGCCTGATGGGTATGCAGATTAGATAACTAGATGTCTAAGATCTTTTGTAACATTTTTATTTATTTTATTGAGCTATGCATTTTCTTTGCTACCCTCTCTTCCTCCCCCCTCCACTTCAACCCTCTCCCAAGGTCCCCATGGTCCCAGTTTACTCAGAAGATCTTGTTTTTTTTTTTTTGTTTTTTTTGTTTTTNTTTTTTTGTTTTTGTTTTTTTTTTTTGTACTTCCCATGTAGATTAGATCAATGTATGTCTCTCTTAGGGTCTTCAATGTTGTCTAGGTTCTCTAGGATTATGAATTGTAGGCTGGTTTTCTTTTCTTTATGTCTAAAAGTCACTTATGAGTGAGTACATATAATATTTGTCTTTCTGGGTCTGG